TACTCTAATACAGATAGCAACAACAATTAAGATCAGCTTTCCTGAAACAGACATTAAATCTGATCATACTCTACAAAAGAACTGTCAGATTACAACCACAACTCCCCAAACCAAGTACCAAGTCTTTACACAAGGTCTCTGAAAGTGTCCCTTTCTCTCTACTCTAGAACCATCACTCTATTTCAAGTCTTGCAACAATCTGCCTAAATCCACAATGGCACATTAACTCTGTCAAACAACACTTTTGCCTTAGGTACCATAGAATCCATGGGAGCCAAATGGATTTAAATAAAAATCACACGGTTTAGGTCCACCAACTGGCCCTATCACACTTATTTGAATAGTCAAACCTTTAGGTTTCTCAAGCAAAAACCAAGCAAATGTTCTGGCTCCCTCAGGCCTAGGGAGGCAAAGTACAAAAGTATGTCTGCCCCTCAGGATGAGCCTATACCTTGCTCATTCCCCATTATCCAAGGTCCAACGGGAAAATGGGACCCCAATTCTGCTCCAGAGTAAGGAAAAACTCATCACCTGCTTTCACTGCTCCTCTATCATCTCCCTTACCTGGGGAAATCTTACACTGGACCACCACCACCACCACACTATCTACTGCACCCCCAAGCAAAGTCCCTCCAAAATGGAAGAATTTTAAATGAGCAAGTCTATAACCATCCAGACATCCTCCTAGAAATCCATCTTTGTGCCAGAGGTGAGTATTCTGCCAAGAAGGCCCTCTAGCATGCTGTACTAACTGTTCCTTCAAATCTTAAATTTCATATTATAATTTCCCATTTACTCTGTATTCTCAGTGAGATGTTAAGCTCGCTGACAGCAAAACCTAAATTTCTGTGTCGCCAGCATGTGGCCCAGTGCTTAGTGCAAGAAGGATGAGCACTCAGTATTTGCTGAATGAACAGACAACATTCAATCAGTAAATAGGTATGAGGAAGGTACAGATTAACTGGATTCTATCACGGCTTCACTCTACCATGGAATCAGGTCTGTCTCATTAAACCACTGACATCTCTCACGGGCCACTGAACACCCTTCTCTAGAGGGGGATGCTCTGCTAATACAACACATCACAATTCCTTGATAGGTTATAACAGGGGTCCTCAACATATGGTGAGTTGTATAATTATTTCATTATATATTACAATGTAATAATAATAGAAATAAAGTGCATGATAAAATGTGCTTAAATCATATCAAAACCATCTCTCTTCTCCCCAGTCTGTGGAAAAACTGTTTTCTGTGAAAACGGTCCCTGGTGCCAAAAAGATTGGGGACCACTGGGTTATAGCATGGGCAAGGCAGGAGAGGATGGCTGATACAACTAAAGCAGTTATTACTCACTGGGGATCTGGATTGGTCAGGATTCTTAATTGTAAGCAGTAGGATCCAACTAGATTAGTTTAAGAAAAGGATTTATTTAAGAGATAAAAACAGCTTACAGAATCACTGGGAGAGCTCAAGAATTAGACTGCAAGCCAAGGTTCCAGGTATAATTCCCAAAAACACGTTGCAGAACTGGGCTGCCAAGTGAATTGTTGCCTCTGGGATGAATCAGGAAGCTGCCAAATAAAAGCTACAAGCCAAACAGGAAGCTGACACTTTAGCACCCAATTCCAGAACCATATCTCCTGTCAAAATGTGTGCCACCAAAACGGATGGGTCTGCTACCCTCAGAACATGCCCTGCTTTTATCCTTGTGATTAAAGCAGTCTCCCGCAAGTGCTTTGTACTGGGCACACCTAAATCTCATCAAGCAGACTTAGTTACATTCCTTATAAGAGTCTGGGAAAAGTACTTTTTAGCACTAAGTCTCTTCGTATCAGAATGGATGTGGAGATAGCCAATCCAGAGTTTATCCCTCAAAGAGCACTTCTCTCCACAGCTCTATCAGGAGGAATTCTCAGAACATTCATTGGTAAGAATTCAATACTCTAATGCAGTGGGTTCTCAAGTCACCTGAGGGTCCTAATTAAATCAGACTATGATACAGTAGGTCTGGGATTGGGGCCTGAGACTTTTCCATTTCTAACAAGCTCACTGGCTGATACTGATGCTGTTGGTCCACCAACCACACTCTAAGTAGCAAGGGCTTAAACCAGGGATTATGGTTCACCACTGTGTTTATAAATAAAGCTTAACTGGAACACAGCTAGGCCCATTCATTTATGTAATATATTATCTATGGCTACACTGGCCCTACAATGGCAGAGTTAAGTAGTTATGACACAGACTGATGGCCTAAATAATGAATTTTTTCCTACTCTAGAATTATACATTATCTATCCATTCTTTTACATTCTAGAATAAATATATATTTGGTATATCTCAATATAAGTTAAATTTCTAACAAAATAAACTCTAAAGATTTTATCTTCTCCTCCTGGCCATGCTTTTAAATTGCTTTAAATTGAAACTAAGAGGCTTCTGAAAGTCAAATCCTAGAGGGTGGAGGCTCCAACAGTTTAAACATGGAGCTGTTATTCCCTTTGGCAGGAACTAGTTTAAGCATGGGCATGTGAACTAACTCTGGAACACCAGACATAAAAAGTCTGCTGGGAGAACTTCTGGGAAAGGTATCTTTTTTCCCAAATAAAAAGAGACCAATGAGGTGAAACTGTGTCCTGCATCTGAAGAGAATGAATGAGCATAAGACTGTGGTCGCCATCTTGGGACCACAAGGAGGCAAGCCCCAGAACAAAAGCCAATGTACCAGAGACGGCAGAATAATAAGATGGCAAGCACCTGGGCTCTTGATATTGTTGAGTTAGCCAACCTGGGACTCCTTGTTATGAGATATCATAAACCTGTTATTGAATGATAAAGAACATAATATTCTTCTCAGTTGCATACATCCTAACTGATAGAGTGATACATAATTTACAAAGGACATGCCTACTCATGTTCTCATTTGAACCTCACACCCTCCTCCCATCTCTCCATAATGGAGTAAACAGGAAGGTATTCAAATGCAGGACCAACTTCCAGGGAGTTTAAAGTTATTTTTTCATAAGTCATATAGCTATTAACTGACAGTATCAGAAACCAGGAGTCCCATGTCAATGTTCTTTTCATTACACCCCTTTTGATTCCATTTGGTTCCATCCAGGTTAGGCTCCTTACCACCCACTGTAAGAATGCCATCTCACATCCTCTCTGTCAATGTTTATCATTTCTTATACTCTTATAATTTTCATTTTTTTTTTTTTTTTGAGACAGAGTCTCACTTTGCTGCCCAGGCTAGAGTGGGTGCCATGGCATCAGCCTAGCTCACAGCAACCTCAATCTCTTGAGCTCAAGCAATCCTACTGCCTCAGACTCCCAAGTAGCTGGGACTACAGGCATGCGCCACCATGCCCAGCTAATTTTTTGTATATATATTTTTAGTTGGTCAATTAATTTCTTTCTACTTTTAGTAGAGATGGGGTCTCGCTAAGGCTGGTTTCAAACTCCTGACCTCGAGCAATCTGCCTGCCTCAGCCTCCCAGAGTGCTAGGATTACAGGCGTGAGCCACCACGCCCAGCCTATAATTTTCATTTTGGATATTTCATCAGCATTTGCATTGTTCCACCCATCAAAGAAGCATGTTTTAATTACTTTCTGTTCATCTAGCTGTGCACTAGGCACAAAAAGGGAGGATTTTAAATGGGAAGCAAGATTTTTGTCCTCAGAGATTACAATCTAGTTATGAATACCAGATACATGATAAAATGAGAGTGACATAAACCAATTAAGTCTATAGGAGTTCAGAGCAAGGGAAGAATTCCTTGACTATTCTAAGGGTAAGAATAGTCTAAGAGGCTGGTCGGGTGCGGTGGCCCACGCCTGTAATCCTAGCACTCTGGGAGGCCGAGGCGGGCAGATTGATCGAGGTCAGGAGTTCAAAACCAGCCTGAGCAAGAGCGAGACCCCATCTCTACTAAAAGTAGAAAGAAATTAATTGGCCAAGTGGCATGTCTGTAGTCCCAGCTACTCAGGAGGCTGAGGCAGCAGGATCGCTTGAGCCCAGGAATTTGAGGTTGCTGTGAGCTAGGCTGACTCCACGGCACTCACTCTAGCCTGGGCAACAAAGCGAGACTCTGTCTCAAAAAAAAAAAAAAAAAAAAAACAGGAAGAGCTGAACCCAAAAAAACACAGAATTTAGACTTTTTCTAAGTGCTATTTTATATGCCCTTAGAATCAGTCTTAAATCCCCTCTATAACTAGGAAATGGTTAAAAAGCAATATTTGTGTGACCAGGACAAGTAAATCTGGGCAATAAAATTTACACCATCAAGTTATGAGAAATGAGATGACATGAGCAAAGCGGCGTATGATGTTCCCACAAAAGGCTATGGAGAAACACTAGTTATTCCTCCTGAGGGTCCACAACTTTACTTCTTCTGTTTATTCTGAAGTATCCAGTAAGATATTATGGCCCAGAACTCAATACATGTACGTATTACATGTGCATACTTTATGTGACTAAATGCAAAAGATACTATTCTCTCTCAAGTTGTACCATTAACAACTTCTGGCTAACAGAATTGTTGCTTTAGCCCCACCCAGTTCCATGGCTAGGACAAAGGAAGTACAGGAGAGCAAAGGTCTCCTCCTCATCCAAAGGTTAATAAGAATGAGCCATTTATACAGCCTATTCCTCTCCTTTCTTAGGGCTGTGGAATTATTTAATTCTTGGTCTTCTATCACAGGTAACAGAGGCATAGTTGGAAAAGATTCATGGGAAGTCATAAAGGGCTGTCTAGTATCATTCAACATATTCACTACCTTGAGCTCTCTTCCTGCATAGAGTGCCTGGTAAACATTACTATGTCACAACTCGATCACCCCTTTAATAAAGGAGGCACATGGTAACCACTACTAAATGCCATCTTTCTGTGATTATGAGTCTGTCTATTCAGTGAGTGGTGATAAACTAAAGAAGTGCATACACAGGACAGGTTCATGATTACAAGGTACAGCTGTGCCCTTTCTTCTCCATGCATACCTCCTCACAGACTTCACGGACTGCTGCCACACCTGGCTCTTCCTCAGGCTCCATGCCTCCTCCAGGGACAATCCATCGGTCTGGATGGCGGCTACTGCTCACAAGTAGCACCTGAAGTCACAGAGGTCACATAGTGGGTTAAATATTCAAAAAGACATATTTATACAAATTCGGAGTTTAAACATCATTTGTCAAAGTAACTAAGACCCATTCCTTGTTTATACCTTTCCAAATCAAGGTAGCTTTGATTTCTGTTTGAAAAAGTAGACAATCTGCCTAGTAAAACCAGAAGGGCATCTGAAGGCCATTATCTCTATCCTCACTCAGACGTCCCTCAGTAATTTGTCCTATCTATCCCTCCCTGTTCCTGTTTCTGAAGCCCTTGAACACAGTTCTGGCGAGGTGAAGAAAGGCACTGATAAGCCTGCAAGCACTGAAAAAGCTAGCCAAAAGGAAAGAGGCCCTTGGCTGCGCTGCCATCATGGTCCAACACTTTCTCTCTAGGTTCTCACTCTAGTGGGTCCCAGTACCTGCTCCATCAGATGCTCACTGGCCAATACAACACACTACCCTATGCTCTAAGTGCACACTGACAACCTAACTCTCTTAGCTACATGAGAAATAGAAAAATTCCTCTCCTTACACTTTCTGCTAAGATAAAACTGGAATTTTTTTAAACTAGGAAATTTTATTAGGAAATAGAAAGAAAAACAAACAAAAACACAGACAAAATGCTGATACAGGATATGGTTTTACTAATTCAGCTTAACCAGCATTCTGGGCATGGTTAAAATAAAAATCTAGAATTCCCTAGTTCCTTTTCCTTACTTGCCCCTCTCTAGGAAAGATGCTAAACAAAACCAGCTGGACTCCTCATTTGGAGGCAGAGTTGGCTTGGCATTATTTCCAAAACTAAAAGAATCCTCAACTGTTCCCTAAACTATCACTTTCTTATGATGACTTGTGAGCCTCCATCTCTATTCCAAGCCACATTCCCTCCGAACACTCCACTTCTACTCTGCAGTCATCTTTGTGGCCGGAAAGAAAGTGCTACTTCCTCTCTGGCCCTTACAAATTCCACCACTGTCTTCCACTTCCTGACCTTCCAGTCATCTCCTCTTCACTTTGACGTCTCCGCAAATACAGGCCCTTGGAAATTCTACCCTTATGCCTAATCCCTTTTTTTCCTGTTGTGATATATTCTTTTCATGCTCATCTACACAGTCTTCAATTTGTAGACTCAGAATAGACCATGGACTTATGATAAATCCACATCAAGTCACCATAGCCCATGGACTGAAAAAAAAAGTATTATAAGTACTATTTTTAAAATATATTTTAAGTTCTGCTTTGACTAATACAATGTAAAATAATTTTAAATGCTGAGATAAAATCCAGAGTAGTTTTTGGTTGATATATATACATGTTCAATTAAAGGATATTAAAAGTACAATCAGGAGACTCCATGAAATTTTGCTATTATTAATAAAAAAGAGTCCTCACTGGACTCCTACCTCAGACCATATACAAAAAATTAACTCAAAATGGACCAACAATCTAAATATAAAAGCTAAAACTATAAAACACTTAGAAGAAAGCAGAGGGTTAAACCTTCATGATCTTGGACGTGGCAAGATATGCCAAATTCTTAGACATGACACCAAAAACATGAGCAACAAAAGAAAAATAAACAAACAAACAGAACATAAAAAGAGTTGACAAGGATGTGGACTAATTGCAATCCTTATACATCGCTGGTAGGAATGTAAAATTGTTCGGCCACTATGGAAAACAGTTTGGTTGTTTCTCAAAAAAAAATTTTTTTTTGGAGCCAGAGACTCACTTTGTTGCCCAGGCTAGAGTGAGTGCCGTGGCATCAGCCTAGCTCACAGCAACCTCAAACTCCTGGGCTCAAGCAATCCTTCTGCCTCAGCCTCCCAAGTAGCTGGGACTACAGGCATGCCCCACCATGCCTGGCTAATTTTTTCTATATGTTTTTAGTTGGCCAATTAATTTCTTTCTATTTTTAGTAGAGACAGAGTCTCGCACTTGCTCAGGCTGGTTTCAAACTCCTGGCCTTGAGTGATCCGCCCGCCTTGGCCTCCCAGAGTGCTAGGATTACAGGTGTGAGTCACCATGCCCGGCCTTGTTTCTCAAAAAATTAAACAAACAAAATTACTATATGACCTAGTAATTCCACTCCTAGCTATATACCCCAAAGAACTGAAAACAGATCCTCAAATACTTGCACACTGATGTTTATAGCAGCACCATTTACAATAGCTAAAATGCAGAAACGACCCAATTGTCCAATAGTGAATGAATGGATAAACAAAATATGACACATACACACAATGGAATATTATTCAGCCATAAAAAGGAATTACTGATACATGCTACAACATGGAAGAACCTTGAAAACATTATGTTAAGTGGAAGCAGACAGACACAAAAGGTCATATACTGCATTATTCCATTTATATGAAATATGCAGAATAAGCAAATCCATAGACAGAAAGCAGACTGGTGATTTACTAGGAACTGGGGGAAGACAAAAACAGGTAGCAACTGCTTACTGGGTAACAAGAGTTTTATTCTGGGATGATGACAGTGTTCAGAATGTAGATAACAAGTGGTGGTTGCTAAATGGCAATGAACTGTTCACTTAAAATTGTTAATGTTATGCTATGTGAATTTCATCCCAATTTTTAAAAGCCTAGTTTTAAGATTACAGTGATTTTTTAAAAGTTGAGGGAGTTAGTGCTATTACTTTCTTCCCCAGAGCAAGCAGCCTTCCAGAAGGTTATCCTTAGTGTTATATTACTAAATTATAAAACTATAAAATATACTATTTCCGGCCTGGCGCGGTGGCTCACGCCTGTAATCCTAGCACTCTGGGAGGCCGAGGCAGGAGGATTACTCGAGGTCAGGAGTTCGAAACCAGCCTGAGCAAGAGCGAGACCCCATCTCTAACTATAAATAGAAAGAAATTCATTGGCCAACTAATATATATAGAAAAAATTAGCCGAGCATGGTGGTGCATGCCTATAGTCCCAGCTACTCGGGAGGCTGAGGCAGCAGGATTGCTTGAGCCCAGGAGTTTAAGGTTGCTGTAAGCGAGACTGATGCCACGGCATTCACTCTAGCCTGGGCAACAAAGCAAGACTCTGTCTCAAAAAAAAAATTAAAAAATATATATATACTATTTCCATAAAAAGGGGGATCATTGCTATGCTCATTCTCTTCAATAATTGTGACCAATCTTATATTTTTAAACATTCCTTATCAAAAGAAAATTAAACCTAAATATAAGCATGCATGTTGAATCAAACTACAAAGTTAAAAGAAAAGTCCTCAAAAGACTCTATAGACAAAGGCATTTAAATCATATCTATCTAATCTGCAAGAAGATTCAAGAAGAAAAAGTAGTAAAGTGGGTTAATCTTTCATGATCTGTTGTATAAATCACAACACAGTCTTTCTTCCCCTACTTCCTGGCAAAGTGTTTACCAGTCATTATAAACCTAAGCATTGGCCGGGCGCGGTGGCTCACGCCTGTAATCCTAGCACTCTGGGAGGCCGAGGCGGGCGGATTGCTCATGGTCAGGAGTTCGAAACCAGCCTGAGCAAAAGTGAGACCCCGTCTCTACTATAAATAGAAAGAAAATTAATTGGCCAACTAATATATATAGAAAAAAAAATTAGCTGGCCATAGTGGCGCATGCCTGTAGTCCCAGCTACTTGGGAGGCTGAGGCAGCAGGATTGCTTGAACCCAGGAGTTGAGGTTTCTGGAGCCAGGCTGACGCCATGGCACTCACTCTAGCCTGGGCAACAAAGTGAGACTCTGTCTCAAAAAAAAAAAAAAAAAAAAACCTAAGCATTGCTTCAAAGCTGACTAGGGCCACCCAATTAAGTTATAGTTCAAATAAAAAACCTTTACAGGAACATTTCAAAGCTAAAACAAAGAAAAGGAAACTCTGGCATAAAGTACAAGCATTCAATTTCTAAATTTCAATCAATGTGAAATATTAATTAGTAAATCTAGCAAGCGTTATTGCTTTGTACATTCAAAGCATGACTATATGAAGTAAGACCATAAGTAATAATGAGGCTGTAGAAAGCAAGCCTCTTTACTTTGTAGTTACAATTCAAAGCAATCGCTATTACTGGTAAATAGCTTTCCTTGGTAAGTTTCCTTGACAACCCATCAAAAATTTACTGCAAAAAAACAAAACAAAAAAATCCTTTACTTTAGCCAGGGATTTAGCTCCTTCCTACCTGGTAAAATACTAAATCATGTTCTGGTCAGTAAATTCTTACTCTGAAGTTTGATTTTGAAATATAAAATTCTCTAAAAATAAACCAAATGGCAAAGCTCCTAAAAGATTCTGAAAATAACACACTAAAAGAAAAAAAGCAGAATGTGTTATTTATTCAACAAACATACATTAAGCATCATCATGAGCCAGGAATGGGAGATGCACAGATTAAAACCACTGCAGTTGGGAGGAAGATCAAAGTGGTGAACCAGGTATCAAACCTTTCTGAAGTTCTAGTCATTGAGACAGGAGGTATAGGTATAGAGATGGATAAACGGATCCATGGAACACACCCACCCATAGACAGACTCTTGGATTCATGATATAGGTAGCTCTGCAGAGTAGGCAGAAATCAAGAGGTGGGGAGGCACAACTTCTGTTCCATACAGATACAAAGGGAAAATCATTATATTAATGATATGTACATAGTAAAAGGATAAAGAAATGTGTGGGAATGATAAATGTAATGAAAGGAGGAAGAAATACAGCAGGAACAGTAATGTTTTATTTCTTACAGTTTTTTTTTTGTTTAATATTGCTTAAAACAAATTTTTTAAAGAACATAAAAGAAGGCCATAGTCCTTGCCCTAAAGGAACTGAGTATCTAGTGGAAGAAACAAAAGGTAATTATACAGGGTGAGGAGTACTTTGGTTGAGGTACGGATAGGACATCACAATGACACTAAAAAGAGACACCCACCTAACCCAGACTTGGGGTAAGGGGCATGATAGAGGGATGATATGGGAAGGTTTCTTAAGGGAAGTGACTTAAGATAAATCTAAGCTCAAGA